TCAGTAATTTGGTTTCTCTCCTTCCCTCCTAAGGATATAATTGGGGACAATGAAGGACAATATAAGCATGCCTGGGCTAGCATAGGACTACGTATGGCAAGCTCAGAAACTATAGAGAACCACTATGGGTGAGGTTAAACAATGTCCATCATCATGATGCAATACCAGACATGTTTTAAAATGATATAGGAAAACAACATGCTGTTGCAGGCAGTTTTCTTTCCCGCCAGCCTGGTTCTGCAGCCACCTCAACCCCAAATAAACACACAAACTCTGTATTACTTATAAAAGTGTTGGCAGGTGGCTAGGGCTTCTTATTGGCTAGCTCTGTCTTAAGTATTAACCAATTTCTGTTAACCTATGTATTTCCATGTGGACTTATCTTACCAGAGAACACCTGGTGTGCCCTTTCTTCCCAATCCTTTATATGGATTCTCCTGACCCTAGTCCTGCCTATCTTCCTGCCTCATTGGCCAAACAGTGTTTTATTCATCAACCAATAAGAGAAACATGTACACAGAAGGACTTCTCCATCAACATGCTCACTGTATATTGTCATAATTCCTTACAAAACCATAACATGGTTGAGAATGTAGTTCAGCTGATGGAATGAATGCTCAACAGCATGCTGAAGCCTTTTTAGGTTTGGTTCCTAGCACCTTGTATACCTAGGATAGTGGTGCATTTCTATAGTTCCATATACTCATGAGGCCAGAAGAGTGGAAGTTCCAGGTAATCCTTGCTATATGGCAAGCTATAGACTAGCCTGGATTAAATAATATTCTGTGTCAGAAAAAGCATACAACAAAAACTTCCAGGTTATTAATTATATTTTCCAACTGTGTGTATCCGTGTCTCTGGATACATATAAAAATTAGATGTAAATATCAATTATGGCTAGCTACAAACAGTGAGATTATGGGAGCATTTTTTTCTTTGTGCTTTTCTTCTACTTAAAGAATTATCCAAAATATACACCTTACTCTTGTCATTCCAAACAATTTCTACTTTCAGAAGAACCAGAAAGTTACTTAGCTTTGTTTGTGTAAAAATATCTCAACCAAATTCCCCAAGGGCAGGAACGGAAGGCTATTTCAGGATGCCAACTGTGCAGACTAAAAACATTACTCAGAGAACTTGTGTTTGGAAACAAAGAAAAAAGTTACATCCTATTCTGCCTATTCTGCCTGGGGTACACCCACAGGAACTGCAGGGAGTGTTTGAAGCCTTTTATACTGTTCTAATAGCTAACTTTAAAAATGTATTTATAATGTGTATGGCTGGTGCAAGTTTGTGTGTCCAGTTTGCATGCATATGCCTGTGGAGGCAAGAAGAGGGTGTCATATCCCCTACAAGTGACTGTGAGCCTGGTGTGGGTGCTGAGAACTGAACTTGGGTTCTTCAAAAGAGCAGCAAGTGCTCTTAACTAATGAACCATCTCTCCACCCCCATTCAAGGGTTTTAATTCTGGTATCTCAGGGATTCCATAAGAAGCCTCACCAAACATACCAGGCGGCTATGTGCTAAAAGAATCATGGTGGCCTTGAGTAATATCCTAGAGTTTCTGAGAGAGGGAAGAAAATAGATCTTATCAGGAGGCAGAGTAGTGTAACTGTTAAGAACTCAGACACTGTAGCTAAACATACCTTAGAATCCTAACTTTGAAACTGGTAGTTTGTGTGGCCTTAGGTTCATTACTTAATCTCTGTGTGTCTCAATGTCTCCATCTGTCAGCGAGCATATTACATCTATTTATAATGTGTCAGTGATGACTAAAGAACTATTGCATGTTAAATACTTAGCACACCTTTGTACACTGTAAGTAGGAACACAGAAAAGCTATTAAGTTACTATAATCAGTAACACAGAAGAGATCAAATAGAGTCTTAGATAAAGAAAGGGCATTGTGGTTGGTTTGAATGAGAATGACTCCTGTAGGCTCATGTGCTTAATATATACTTAATAATACTCATACATCCCTAGTTGGTGGAGATGTGGTCATCTAAAAAAAGATATTTTTATTTATGTGCATTGGTGTTTTGCCTGCATGTATGTCTGTATGAGGGTGTTTTGATTCCCTGGAACTGGAGTTACAGACAGTTGTGAGATTCCATATGGATGCTAGGAATTGAACCTGGGTCCTCTGGAAGAGCAGGCAGTGCTCTTAAGTCATCTCTCTAGCCGAGGAGGTGGTCTTATTGAATAAGGTGTGTCATTGGGGGTGGGCTTTCAGTTTCAAAAGACTCATTTCACTCCCAGTGTTCTCTCTCTGCCTTGGTTTTAGATCAAGATGTGAGGTCTCAGATATTCCTTTGTTCTGCCATCATGGATTCTAACTCTCTGAAACCATAGCCAAATCAAACACTTCCTTTTATAAATTGCCTTAAGCATGATGTTTTATCACAGCACCAGAAAAGTAACTAAGACACACATACTAGTTCTGACTGAAATGATGAGAGACTTCACGAAAAGAAAATGTAAACATTCCAAGATGAAGGATGAAGGCATTTGAGGAGGTGGAAATATCAGAGTGTAGAAGTGAGGCCATCACTGCACATGTGCTGGGCCACTCTCATGGAACCTCACCTCTTAGAAGACTGTGGGGAAAAAAGAAGAGCAGGGGAAGGGTTTGTCTCAGCTCATGGACATTAATAGATGTCCCATCTATCTGTTGTAATCTTCATCCTCAAACCATTTTTTGAGACAGTCTCTCTATGCAGCTATGGGTGTCCTGGAACTTGACATATGGATAGGCTGGTCTCAAACCCACAGAGATCTGCCTGTTTCTATGTCCATAGTGCTGGGATTTAAGAGGTGTACCACCATGCTTGGCCCTTAAACAATTTTTTTAATATCACATAGGCCTTTCTTTTTGTAATTAGTCTAATCTGAGCATGTACTGAAATGCCTCCCCTACCCTCTTCATGATCCCTTACATTCACTGGATAAAACCAAATTTCAGCAAGTGTTAAGTCAAAGAATCTCCTATCTAAAATCTCCAGAAACAGGAGAAGAAAGTAGAATAATAGAGTAAGGGAACTATAAACCCTCCTTTTCATAGGTGTGCGGACAGTTTAAGGCTTGGGAAGTGTCCTGGTTACTTCTCTATTGCTATGTAAAACACTATGACTGAAAGCAACTTGAAGAGGAAAGGGTTTATTTGACTTATGGATTACAGTCCCCCATCAAGAAATGCTGGAACTCAACCAGAAACCACGGAAGAAAGTTTCCCTCTAACTTGCTCCTCCTGACTTGCTCGGGTTGCTTTGTTATACACTCTAGGACCACCTGCCCAGGGATGGCACCACCCATACTAGACTGGGCCCTCCCACATCAGTCATTAATCAAGAAAATGTCCTACTGGCATGTCTACAGGCCAATTTGATGGAGGAATTTTCTCCATTCCCTATTCCCAGCTATGTCTAGGTTTGTGTCAAGTTGACCAAAACCAAAAACAAAACAAAACAAAGAAAAAACCAAAAACAAAGACTGCATTGAGGCATTAACTGCAGATTTTGAACTTTCCAGTATTCATAATTGTATAAATCAGTATTTAAAAATATGCATGCATGTGTAAATACATACATATATAATCCACACATGTATTATTTATATACATATGTACACACATACACACACACACACACGGATATATAAATGTTAGTTCTTTTTCTATGGAGAATCATAATATACACTTTTGTTGGCAACTCACTGAAACAGTCCCTGATGGATGGGAAGGAGCAAGAGGTTCCCCGGACTCAGGAAAGTCACAAGAAATGTACAAGGTTCCTCCCTGGGTTGTAAAACCAGTTAACAATTACTAGGGGAGAGGAGAGTCTTGGGTGCAGGGGCCTCATGCTGTTTATAAAATCTGTGTAATTTAATCCATGTAATTACCCCTTCAACACAAGAACTTCTCTGATGTTGATTCATTTCAACAAAAACAGCTCTATCAGATCCAACAGGACAAATCCTACATGATAGAACACTATGAACCAGGTGGGAAAGGGAAAACAAGTTTTACAAAGAAATGGAAACCCAAGTGTGTACTTCTCAGGGGTACTGTAAAGTTAATAGCTAATAGCAGGTCTCACCACCTGCTGGATACCGACTTCAACTGTTAGGTAACAGTGGTTCCTCCTCCTCCTCCTCCTCCTCCTCCTTTTCCTCTCCTCCTTCTCCTCTTCTTCTTCATCTTCTTCTTTCTTTTCCTCCTCTTCTCCTTTCTTCTCCTTTTTCCTCCTCCTCCTCCTCCTTTTTCTTCTTCTTCGTTCTCCCTCTCCTCCTTCTTCCCTCTTCTCCTCCTTCTTTTAAGACAGGGTTTCTCTGTGTAGCCCTGGCTGTCCTGGAACTCAGTCTGTAGACCAGGCTAGCCTCAAACTCACAGAGATCTGCCCGCCTCTGCCTCCCGAGTGCTGGGATTAAAAACATGTACCACTACTGCCTGGCTAGGATTTTGTCTTTTTAAAAAAGCTATTATTTACTTATTAAAATCAACATTAGGCATGTAGGTGTTTTTTCAGTGAATAAAGGAGAATTTGGCTATTTAAAAAAAAGATGTATTTATCTTTTGTATATGAGTGCTATAGTTACATGTGTGCCTGCATGACAGAAGAGGGCATCAGATACCATTACAGATGGCTGTGAGCCGCCATATGGTTGTTGGGAATTGAACTGAGGATCTCTGTAAGAGCACCCAGTGCTCTCTCTGCTCTTTCCAGTCCTTGAGAATTGGGCTATTTAAATTACTGTGAATGCTTTTAAAGTTAAAACAACCTTTTCTCTTACTTCAAATCCAATCCATGTTATTACCAGAAAGACAGAGATGGTGGGGATGTGGCTCGAAGGTACAGTGACTGTCTGGTGTGAGTAATGGACCATGGGTTAGATCTCCAACAAGAGAGGAACTGGATGAAAAGAAAAACCAACATACTGGCAGTGGGGACCATATGGTACGGGGAAAGGAACAGGCCCTGGAGTTAAGTTGTGTGGATTCATACCTCACCCACTCCACATGCCACCTTGTGACTTGGAGCTGTTTGATTTCTTTGTCTCAGCATCCTTACCTATAAATAAAATATTATACAAAATTAAAAATTAGATAAATTGTACAACAAACCTTGAGTGAATGTGACTCCTGGACCCAACTTTCTCGGTACTTTTTGTCCTAGTATCTTAAAATAGGGATTGTGCTTGTTTCAATACGTTTGAAAAGAACAACCTGCATCTCAAAGTCACTTTCAACCAAAATTGTTTCCCTTGCATCTTTTTGTCTACTACATAGGAGGGGAATACATATACATACATACATACATACATGCAGATAAAATCTTACTCATAAATACTGAAAGCTTTAAAGCAAGGTAGACCTTTGTTTCAATTTTTTTTAAACTTTTTTTATTTTAAGATTTATTTATTTTTTTATTATGTATGCAGACAGGCCAGAAGAGGGCATCAGATCTCATTACAGATGGTTGTGAGCCACCATGTGGTTGCTGGGAATTGAACTCAGGACCTCTGGAAGAACAGCCAGTGCTCTTAACTGCTGAGCCATCTCTCCAGCCCTTGTTTCAAAATTTAAAGTTTATCTTTCAGCAATTTTTCCAGAAATGACAACTGTCCAAGCTCTTTCAGTCTGTAAACAATCTCTTTAAGCTTACACAAACTTCCTCTGAAAGACTAAGTCATTGGAATTACCTCTATTATTTGAGCCAATCCTTCCTTAAAATAGAGAGAGATCACTGATGACTACTTGAACTTAGGAAGTAAAATTACAACTTGTCATATCTTCTCAACACTGAAATGAAAGATTTTCAATTATGTCTTCTACCTCTTAGTGACATTAACATCCAGGGAGTCAGCTGAGTTCTAGGTTGGTTGGTTAGGTATCTGTCCAATATATTGGATATTATATAAATTACTGGGATGAGGGGCTGGAGAGATGGCTCAGCGGTTAAGAGCACTGACTGTTCTTCCAGAGGTCCTGAGGTCAATTCCTGGCAACCACATGGTGGCTCACAAGCACCTTGAATGAGATCTGGTGCCCTCTGCTGGCACTCAGGCAGAAGGCTGTATACACAATAAATAAATAAATTACAGGGATGTTTCTTAAACATCTCCAGAAGCAACCATTTCCTTGCTAGCTTGTATTTATCAATTTATTATTTATTTGAGACAAAGTATCCTGTAGCCCAGACTGGTATACATGAACACCTGATCCTCCTACCCTCTTGAGTGCTAGGTTTATGGGTGTAAGCTACCATGCTTATGTATGAAACAGTTAAAAAAAGTGCTGGGCATGGTGGTGCGTACCTTTAATCTCATCACTTGGCAGGTAGGTCTCCATGACTTTGAAGTCAACCTGTTCTAGATAGTGAGATATTGTTTCAAAACAACTACACAACGGAAGTGTGTGCAAGTAAAATTACAAATTGTCTATCTTCTCAAAGCTAAGAATCAAAGTGCTGGAGCTAGAGGAAGACGTGTGTCCTGTACTATCTATCTCTCTCTGCCTTATTTAGCGCTTTGAGACAAGGTCTCTCACTGAACCCAGAGCAGACTGGCAGCCAGCAGCCTACCTCTTTATGTAGCTACTAGGGATTCAAACTCAAATCTTCAATCTCCGTAAGTGCTCTTATTTTTTGCTGGAAAAATATTAGGATTTTTGAAGGTGTACCTTGTCTCATTTTGCCTCTTATGACACATCCCACCTGAAATTATAAACTACTTATGCATATCAATAGCATTTCAGCAATTACTTGCTAATTTCTAAATTGTTACATAGCCATTTCTTTTTTACTTTTTTAAAGATTATTTTTATGTGGATAGGTGTTTTGCCTGAGAGGTGTCTGTGCACTACGTGCATTCTATGAGTCCAGAAGAGGGCTTTGGATACCTTGGAATTGGGCTCTTATGCCCTGAGCCATCTCTCCAGCTTCAGTAGTCTCTTTTTAGCTAAAATATTCCCTCCTGGTGGGAAGTCTAATTTAGAACTCGGTGCACAAAACTTACAGGGTCCGGGAAGTAATCGAAACTTACAAGACTCCAGAAGTAAACAAAAACTTACAAAGCTCATGAAGCTTCTGAAAGAAGTCATCAGCTCCCTGCATAAGCAGGAAGGGAGTGACTCCTGCATGTCATTTTTCCGTTTCTCATACAAATCAGCCAAGCTTTGTCATCTCAAAAAGGAAGAGTTGTTCACATAATGAAACTGATGTGTTCACTATAAAGATGTTGAAGTCTTAAGTAAAATGGTATGTAATGGATGGTGTACTCCTTTGGGAGATGCACTGAGGTCTAAGAGGAAATAAGTGGGTGCCCAACAAATGTGTGGTCCGTCTCTACTTCTTCATTTTAAAGATAAAGTTATGCAAAATTCTGTCTGAAACTGAGGTGGGAGGAAGTTCTTCATTCAGTCATTCGTGTGCCTTAAAGATGCACCCACCAAATCCGTAAGGCTCATAAATCTGTTGTCACCCGTCTGTCTAGATGGTACCTGAGGGGGCTGGTCAGACGGCTCATGGTTAAGACCACTGGCTATTCTTCCAGAGGAGCCACACTGTGTGGATCACAACCATCGGGAAGTCTAGTTCCAGCGATCCAACACCCCCATCTGACCTCCTCCTGCAACAGGCACACGTGCGGTGCACAGACATACACGCGAGTGAAACACTCATACACGTTTTTAAAACATTTAAAATTACAACACTAAAGAAAAAGGTTTGTGTGATACGTGCAAACACTTTAGTCAAGTTACAATTTGGTTACCTTTTCCTAGATGAAAAATTGCCTTTTGCCTAAGTCTCACAAACTCATGCAACTGCTCACACTGATTTATAGGTCCTGCCAGTTTCCTAGGGCCTCAGTTTTCAACAGCTAAAACCAACATCTTGACTATAAATCATGGTAATTTAGAGCCATGTTATTTTTGATTTTTATGTTTATTTATTTTGGGAGATAGGGTCTATTATTGCAGTCCTGGCTGAGCTGGACTTTCTTGTGTAGACCAAGCTGGACTTGAACTCACTGTAATCCACTTGCCTCTGTCATTCTAGTGTTGGGATCAAAGGCATGCGCCACCACACCTGGCTAAACCATATAATTTTAAGATTGTCTTTCAGGCAGGTTTTTAATAAATAGCCCTCGATTTTTGGAACTTGATATGTAGAGATTGAGGCGATCAGGTGGTACTCCTGTTGTTGCCTGGGATTACTGGCAGGGAACATGCATCGCAAGGTGTTTTTACTTAAATCTAAATATGTAACTTAAAATATAGCTTTACTTAAGCCAGTAGTGGCACCAACCGGTTGAATATAATTATTTATCATAATAAATATTCATTCGAAAAAATATCTGCCCAGAATTTAGGTGTGTCCGGAGGCACTGATCTGGCACCGTTTTGAAATCCTCCCCAGGGGGTTGGGAACCAGTGAAAGACTACCTGGTTCACCAAACAAGAAACGAGGAGAGGAGGGGCCTGAAGGAGGCCGGTCCCCCCAACCCAGCGCGAGAATACGCCTCAGCGCATGCGCACCTCCGGGTGGGTCCCTTCCACCTGCCCGATAGGGGTGGCAGCAGAAAGCTGCCTATAGATTTTGAATGTCTACCTTCAAGAAAGGGCCTAGATTGTGAGGAGTTCCGTGAGCAATAGTCTAATGATGTTCTCCAAAGTCAGCACCAGGGACCCTTGGCATAGGCATCCGAAACAAGAGGTGACTTCTCGTTTCTTCCCCCTCCCTCTGGGACAGTGGTGGTCTGATCCAAGCCACAGACTTTCGCTCGTTTGCAGCGGGTCGGAGATCGAAGGATTGAGCCAATTGCGGATGAAACGTCTTTGCAAGGAAAGGGGTGAGGAAGCAGCCCTTGGAGTTCCGCCTCTTCTCTAGGCGCCGGTGGGGAAGGGGGACGTAGGGAACCCTGCCCTCTGAGCCAGCGGACGCGACGCCTCAGTGCAAAGTGCCGAGAGGACGGCGGGAAAAGCGCCCGTCGGGAGCAGGGGACGGGAAGCAGCCAGGAAGCCGTGCGGGAGGGCGCGCGCGCGCGCGCCCCTTTTTCAGCAGTGTGGCGGGGTCGCACGCACGCCCGCCTCGGCGGCTGGGCGCGATTTGCGACAGTGGGGGGAGCGGCGGAGGTGGCGGTGCCGGCAGCTTTGCGGCAGGCTCCGGCCGGGCTTGCTTGACGGCGGTGTGGCGGAGGCCCCGCCCGAGGCGGCAGGAACCTGGAGGGAGGCGGAGGAATATGTCCGAGAGGGAAGTGTCGACAGCGCCGGCGGGAACAGACATGCCTGCTGCCAAGAAGCAGAAGTTGAGCAGCGACGAGAACAGCAACCCGGACCTGTCGGGAGACGAGAATGTGAGTGCAGCCCTGGCGGTCCCGGGACGGTGGAGTGGAAGTTTCAGGTTCTTTGGAAACTGCGCGCGGGGCGTGCGGGCGGGCGGGCGGGCGACCGTGGGGGGAGGGAAAGGTGTCACCCCGCGCTCAGGAAAACGCGGGCATGCGGGGAGATCCAACTTGTCAGGGATTCGAGCTGGGTCTGCGACTGGTAGCAAGCGAGAAAGTTGGCGAAGGAGCGGGTTAAGGGTCCCAGAGGTCTGCGAGGTCTGCTAAGATCATCCTTGCGTGGGAGGTGGGGGGTGTTGGTACCTTTGGGGGACTTGACGGTGATTGCGAATCCGAGATTGTACTCGTTTAACAGGCATTCTCCGGGCAAGAAATTTTGTTTCCCAAGAAAAGTTGGTAGAAGGGGGCAGTCCGATTAGGTCCTCCAAAGGGAGTCGAGGGACTGTGTCACTACGGAATCCAGATGGAAAGCATAGCTCTTTGGCTTGGGTTTATTTGCGTGATTGGGGTTCCGTGAAAGTGGGGTGTGCCTTCGTGTCGACTTTCCTGTGAGAGGAGCAGAACCTAGAACATCGTGGAGGGGAACCGCCTTTGAATAAGCCAGGGAGGGGTCCATTGCAAAGTTTTTACTTAATGCTAAAGGATTGAAAGATTTCGGGCAACCGTGGTAACGACTGATGTATTTCAGCGAGTATGAAGATTAAGTGAAATCATAGTACTTAGAAATGCTGCCCCGTAAAAAAGTACTATACAAGTGTTGTAAAAAGTAGTGTACACGTGTTCTAATAATTAGTTACTTATGATTTCGTAGTGTCGAGTTACAGCTTTGGCCTAATCACCCAGAATTAATGAAAATGCCAAGTTTGCTTAGAAGGAGGAAATTGTGTGTGTGGGGGGGGGGGTAAATGAAAGCTCATTTTCATTTTTGCAGACTCGTAAGGGAAATATATTTTTTGATGTTTTCTAATATTGAACTTTTGGTATTCGTTCCTTTGACACATTACTGAACCCTTTGGGGTGCTCTCCGAATAAAACTTTTTTTTTATTTGAGTCAGAGTTTTCCTGTGTAGCACAAGCTTCCCTCAAACCTGTTATTTTTTTTTGCCTTAACCCTGTCAAAACCTAGATAATCCTCTCAGTACCTAGAATTCGGTCCTGCACTTCCAGGCCCCGCAGAATACTATAGATACATAGGTAAAGTATTATAAGATTACAAACAAGATCAAGTATAAAACTTAAAAATGTATTTTAAAAAATTTTAAGGGCTGGAGGCATAAAGCTCATTTGTACAGCATCTGCCAGACATATAGGAGTCCTCAGCAAAAGGTGTACTTCCCCATGTTGTATTTTATTTTGTATTTAATTCGGTTTTTGTTTGTTTGCTTTTCGTTTTTTTTTTTTAAGACAGGGTCTCACCTTGTACCTTTGGCTGGCCTGGAAGTCCACTGTATCCAGGTTGGCCTTGAACTCAGAGATCTACCTGCCATTGCCCACTGAGTGCTTGGGATCAAAGGCATGAGCTACCATGGCTGGCTCCCCATTTGGGTGGAGTAATGTATGTAGTTGTTTTTTTTTTTTTTTTTTTAATTTAAATTAGAAACAGGGTTGCTTCACGTGTCAATCCCAGCTCCCTCTCCGTCCCCTCCTCCCAAGCCCTCCCACCAATTCCCCCATGCCCCCTCCTCCAATCCCCACTCCTTTCCCCAGGGAGAGTGAGGCCCTTCATGGGGGTTATCCATAGTCTGTCATTTCATCCAGGGCAGGGCCGAGGCCCTCTCCCAAGAGTCCAGGCTGAGAGAGGTTCCCTCATTGTGGGATGGGCACCCAAAGTCCATTTGTATGCCAGGGATAAATACTGATCTATTACCCAAAGCCCCATAGATTGCCTAGGCCTCCTCATTGACACCCACATTCAGGGGTTCTGGATCAGTACCATGCTGGATTCCCAGCCATCAGTCTGGTGTTCAAGAGCTAACCCTTGTTCAGGTCAGCTATTTCTGTGGGTTAAAATGTATGTTTTTTAGCACAGTAAATAGGTTTTTGCCAGAGCCATTGGTAGAAGTGGTAGGCTGAGTTTTAAGATCTGTAGCAATTGTACTAGAGGATGGAATCCTTAATCTGAAGATCCAAAAATCAGAACTTTTTGCATGTAAAAACAATTGTGGCACACACCTTTAGCCCCATCACTGGGGAGGTAGAAGCAGTTAGATCTCTTGAGTTTGCGCCAGCCTGGTCTACAGAGCGAGTTCCTGGACAGGCTCCAAAACTACACAGAGAAACCCTGTCTCCAACTCCCCACTCCCCACCCCCAAGGGGGGGGCAATTGACAGGTGAGGAGAAACTTAAAAATCAAAAATCAAATTCTTTTCTTTTTGATCAACATTTTGTTTATATCTATGATGGCTAAAGTCCTTCTGCCTTTACCTCCCAATTGCTGGGCAAACAGATACCTAGCTAAAATTGATTTCAATTTAGGAGCCCAATTTAAACTTGTAACATTTTAAGTTTCCATTGAAAGTAATTTTTACATTTAACTTCAAATATTTATTAAACACCTACTTTGTGGGAGTACTTCATTTCTTGTTTATTTTTAAATTGTTTTCCTTTTTCTTTTTCCTGTTTGTTGTTGTTGTTAGTTTCACAGCTTCAAACTCATGATGCCTATTCTCCTGCCTCAGCATTCCGAGTACTGGGATCATAGGCAAGAGACACTATGTTTAAGCTTCATTTCTTTTTTCTAGTGTTAGATCATATGTTCTAGAATAGTATATTTTTGTTTTCAGTTTTGGCTTTTACTTTTTTCTCATGTTTTTATTTAAATTAGAAATATGCATGCTTCACATATCAATCCCAGGTCCCTCTCGCCCCCTTCCTCCCTTGTCCCTCCACCAGTCCCCCCACAAACCCCCCCCCAGCCCAATCCACACATCATTTCCCAGGGAGGGTGAGGCCCTCTTTAGGGAGAACTCCAGAGTCTGTCTTTTCATTCCGGGGCAGGATCTAGGCCCTTCCCCTCCATGTGGAATGGGCTCCCAAAGTTCATTTGTATGCCATGGTGAACACTGATCTACTACCCAAGGCCCCAGAGATTTCTGAGGCCTCCTCACTGACACTACATTCATGGAGTCTGGATCAGTCCCCTGCTGGCTTCTCAGCCATCAGTCTGGGGTTCAAGAGCTCCCCCTTGTCCGGTCAGGTGTCTATGGGTTTCACCAGCACGGTCTTGACCCCTTTGCTCATCACTCCTCCATCTCTGTCACTGGGTTCCAGGGGTGCAGTTCAATATTTAGCTGTGGGTATCTGCTCTGCTTCCATCAGTCATTGGCATATAAGGTAGTCATCAGCCTTATCATCAGGGAGGAGCTATTAATGTAGTCTCTCTGCTATTGCTTAGTTTGCCAGTTGGTGTTATCCTTGTAGATCTCTGGAAATCTCACAAGTGTCAGCTCTCTCCTCAAACCTATAATGGCTCCATCTATTATGGTATCTCTCATCCTGCTCTCCTCTATTTTTACCCCGACTCAACCTTCCTGCTCCCCCATGTCTTCTTCTCCCCTCCTTTTATCCCCCTCTCTTTCCTGATTCCCTCTCCCTTCCCCTCATGTTCCCAATCTGCTCAGGAGAGCTTGCCTTATTCCACTTCTCTGGGGTATCATGCATATCTCTTGGGAACCTCCCTGTTTCCCAGACTCACTGGCACTGGGATTGTAGGCTGACATTCCCCTGATCATGTCTAAAATCCATATATGAGTGAGTACATACCATGTTTGTCTTTTGTGACTGGGTTACCTCACTCAGGATGGTTTCTTCTAGTCCCATTAATTTGCCTGCAAATTTCAAGATTCCATTGTTTTTTTCCGCTGAGTAGTACTCCACTGTGTAAAGTACCACATTTTCTCTATCCACTCTTCAGTTGTGGGGCATCTAGGTTGCTTCCAGGATCTAGCTATTACAAATAATGTTGCTATGAGCATAGTTGAACAGACATCCTTGTTGTATGAATGGACATCTTTTGGATATATGCCTAAGAGTGGAATTGCTGGGTCTTGTGGTAGACTGATTCCCATTTTCCTGAGGAATCTCCATACTGATTTCCAAAGTGGCTGTGCAAGTTTGCACTCCCACCAGCAGTGGAGGACTGTTCCCCTTTCTCCACATCTTCTCCAGCGTAAGCTGTCATTGGTGTTTCTGATTTTAGCCTTTCTGACAGGAGTAAGGTGATATCAGGGTTGTTTTGATTTGCATTTCCCTAATGGATGCTAAGGATGTTGAGCATTTTTTTAAGTGTCTCTCAGCCATTTTAGACTCCTATTGAGAATAGAATAGTATATTTTCTTAATCCTAGTACTTGGGAGGCAGAGGCAGTCTTGGTCTGCAGAGTGAGTTCCAAGACATGCTCCAAAGGAACACAGAGAAACCCTGTCTCAAAAAACAAAAACAAACAACAAAAAAGAAACTAATATTTTTAAGCAAATTAGTGTTTTTAAATACCCTTTGACACTTCATTTTTATCCTTTTATACTATGGAACTATCTTGAGTAAGCTTTACCTTAGAAATAGACTACAATGATAG